ACAACAACAACATTGACAACAACAACAACAACAGACAACAACAACAACAACAACAACAACAACAACAACAACAACAACAACAACAACATTGACAACAACAACAACAGACAACAACAACAACAACCAGTAGGAGAGGAGAGGTCAGAATACCTGCAGGATGATGCCGAAGAGGACGATGAAGAGGAGGAAGAAGAGGGATCGGAACTGCTCCCATGAACGAGAGTCAATGGAGGAAGAGACGTCGGGAAACTGCTGGAGGTCGTGCGCGAACATCTCATTGTCGTAGGAGAAGCCGCTCAATACCCAGATGGACATGCACTGAAATATGTGAGGAAGAGCGCAGAGCAGGAGAGGAGAGGAGAGGAGAGGAGAGGAGAGGAGAGAAAGATGAGGAGAGGAGAGAAAAATGACCAGGGAGGAAGAGGAGATGAAGAGGAAGAGGAAGAGGAAGAGGAAGAGGAAGAGGAAGAGGAAGAGGAAGAGGAAGAGGAAGAGGAAGAGGAAGAGGAAGAGGAAGAGGAAGAGGAAGAGGAAGAGGAGAGAGAGGGGACAGGACAGGGTAGGATGGTATGCACCTGCCATAGACTCTGACAACGAGGGCGGCCGGACCAGGACAAGTCGCTGAAGTAGGAGAAGAAGAAGAGGGAGAAGAGAACAAGGACGACGAGGGAGAGGATAAAAGATGCCAGCAAGCGAACCCAAGAAGAATGAACTGGCGGAAACACTGTGAGAAGACAGGGGGAAGAAACGAGCAGTCAAGAGAGGTTGGGGAGGAGGAGAGTTGGTGGGAGGGCAGGAAAACGGAGGGGGCGGACGAGCACGAACACGAGGACGAGGAGATGCAAAAGAGAAGGAGGAGGAGAAGGAGGCGGAGGGGGGCGGGAGCAGCAGCAGCAGCAGCAGCAAGCAAGCAAGCAAGCAAGCAAGCAAGCAAGCAAGATTTGAGGGGGTTTGACCTGCTCGGAGGAAGAATCTCCCAACGTTTGTGGAGCAGAAATCGACGAGCTGAGCAGGGAGGAAGAGAGGAGAGTAAAACGCTCCTGCAGCAGGAAAGGATGAGATGTCGCTATGGGAAGTAAACACAAGGAAGGGGGAGGGGAAAGGGAGAGGAAAAGGAAGGTGCAGTAGGAGCAACAGCAGCAGCGGAAGTGCAGCAGCAGGAGGGAGAGGGAAGGGGAGTGAACAAGGGCAGAGACGGAATAGACTGGTGCAGATGATAGATGAGGAGCAGGAGGAGCAGGAGCAGGAGCAGGAGCAGGAGCAGGAGCAGGAGCAGGAGGACTTTCTCACCCATAGCAGCGAAGAAGCAGAGGAAAAGATGGTAAAAAGCAGAGAAATCCACGAGAATGGCAGAGATGAAGGTGGTTGGACTGAGCTCCAACTTCTGAAGAGAAGTTTTCTGATGCGAAAGAAGTCAGGTGTAAGGAAGGAGGGGAGGAGAGGTAGAGGAGGGGAGAGGACAGGAGGGAGGGAGGGAGGGAGGGAAGGGAGGGAGCGGCAATGAGGGAGTAAGAGAGGGAGGGAGGGAGAGGAGAGGAGGAAGGGATAGGAGAGGAGGGAGGGAGGGAGGGAGAGGAGAGGAGGGAGGGAGAGGAGAGGAGGGAGGAAGGAAGGGAGGAAAAGCTGGTGGGATCGGCGTTATGAGGGAGGAGGGAGGAGGAGATGGGAGTACAGACTTTGAGTCCCTTCTGCTGCTTTTCTTCCTCCTCCTGCTCTCTACGACGATGATCCAAAACATCTGCGAAGCTGCTGGGCCAGAGGAAGGCGAAGTAGATTGTGGCAGAGGCAAAAGTTGCAAGCATCTGCAAGATGCCGACGATCTGGAGGAGAACAAGTGAGCCTGAGAATAGCTTTGAAAGTACATCGTGCGATGAGATGAGCAAACAACTTCTACATGCACATCTTGTCAAGTTATGACTCTCTTCATATTTCATGTGAACAACAACACAAGTCATGTTCATCAGATCCACAGCACCTGTATGATGACCCGGAGAGCTGGCGCTTGTGCAAAAGCGTCGAAGAGGAGGGGAAATCGAGAATCATAGCGGCCGCCTGATGCAAGAAGCAAGTTGCCTGCAGATGCAATGCTGTGATGAAGATGAAGCGAGGGAGGAGAGGAGGAGAGGAGGAGAGGAGGAGAGGAGGAGAGGAGGAGAGGAGGAGAGGAGGAGAGGAGGAGAGGAGGAGAGGAAAAGATGAAGAGAGGGGAGCATAGCAGAGCATTTACGAGCAAGATAACTAGGTAAAGAAACTGAAAGCAGGCAGAGACAAGTTGAGCAGGCGGAGCAGGAAGAAGCGAGAAGACGAGAGGAGAGGACACAAGGGTTGTCAGGGAGATCAATCTCACCTGCCTCCCAGCTTGTCATGTTGAACGTCAAGTTACGTTGGGCATTCGAAGGGTTTCCTGAATGTCAGGTGAGAACTGCCACGTCAGCAGCAAGGGCTTTGACCGTAGACGCCGAGGAGGAGGAGGAGGGAGAGGAGGGAGAGGAGCCTTGGGCAGGTTGCAGCGAGCTGACGGTGACGATACATGGAAGCGAGGAAAGGTATCCTGCTGCCTGTTCTGCTCGACCCCTGACACCTGCCATGGCTGAAACAAGTCCAGACCGCATAGCGCCAACAAATCCTCCTCCTGCTCGGAACATCAGGGAACATGATAAGAGAAGGAGGGAAGGAGAGGAGGGAGCGGCAATGAGGGAGTAAGAGAGGGAGGGAGGGAGGTTGTTACATCTCTTGGAACATCCTTGTCCTCGCTCCTTCTCCCATCAGTCTGTTCTCAACAAACTGCAGAAAGATGTCAGAGTAGACGAGGAGAAGCTTACATGGTTCTGCTCACGTTGTTGACGATGTTGCTCTTGTTCATTTCAATGTACTCTTCGATCTGTTGATCAGTGTAGAAACGCACAACTCGAATCATGTTGCCTTGCCGAACTGCAATCGATCTGTAGGCCACGATCAGCACAAGCAGTGGACAAACACACCAACTTGGTCTTCTTGTTCATCATCATCTCCATCATCATCATCATCATCATACCTGATATTTCTGGTCGATACATCAACATGATCCTTTTCTCTCCTCATGTTGAGATGGTCAACAACATCCTCCATAGCAACGTGCGCCCGAACAAGATCCTGACTATGCTCGTCGAGAACTCCTGCTCCTGCTCCTGCTCGCTCCCTCGCTTCCTCCCACATTCTCCAGCTCGCAGAGAAATATCCAGCAACGTGTTCCACAGACACAGCTAGCATGTGATCAAACTCCTGCTGCCAATCTGCTTCCTCCCTTCCCCTCCCCACCATCCCCCGCATCTCCAGCGCGCATGCAACGATCCTGTACACGTCGTCCCGAGCTCCCAGCAGCCTCTCCCTCCTCCTCCTTCCTCCCTCCTCCTCCCTGCAGAGGAGGGATAGTAAGACGACGTGCTCCATCAGCATTGGCAGCGCATTCTTCCGCAGCAGACACCCGCGAGCTCCCAGGGACAAGCTCAGCAGCATGTTGCAGATGGCCCGGGAGGCGTGATGGAGGCAGAGGAAGAGGTACCCCTCATCAGCCCTGTGCGAGGCCCCAACGTACCCCAGGAGGGTCAGGAGGAGATCGATTATCTTTTCGAGCACAGAGCTCTTCCCCTCCCTCCTCGTGAACACCCCGATGATTCCTTCCTCTCCGCCTTCACATAAGCTGCCAGCGAGACGGAGGAGGAGGAGGAGACAACTTTGTTTCCCCAGCGCGGCGTCGATCCTGTCCCTCGCCAACATGCTCCGACCGCCCTGCCCCAGCATCTTCCTCCTCGAGTCGCCGATGGAGCCTCTCTCCGGACGATCCGCAGGAGGAGGAGGAGAGGAAGAGAGGCGTTGGCAAGCATCCTCGTAGTCCTCCAGCATGGCGATGGCGCGGTCGAGGATCCTCAAGAACGACATGGCAACACCAGCAGCCGCTTCTCCTCCCTCTCCCTCCATCGCTCTCAGCACACGCGCCCTGCTCCTCCCGTTGCGCGTGGTGATCGCGAACATCATCATCATCCCCACCCTGTTCGCTTCCTCGGCCAGACAAGAGACCAGCCTGACTGCAAGGACGGCAAACCCGCAGGCGACAAACTTCTCCTGCACCTCCTCTAGAGTCTCGTGGGACGGGGAGGTCTTAGGGAGGACTTCCATGCTGAGCATGCTGCTCCAGACTGTCTCCACGTGCTCCCTCCTCCTCCTGTCGAACCCTCGCACTTGCTCCGCATACGGCATGAAGCAAAGAGCACCTGCCAGCTCTGCCAGACTCCTCGACGTCGTCAAGGACGTCTGACATTCATCGCTTCCGTGGACGAGCATGAAGATTGCATGCTCGGCGAGTTTCTTGACGAGGTCGAGGGAGTTGACGGTGCTCGCTATGACAGCAGCTGCTCCCTCCTGTACGTACATGCGATCTTTGTACAAGCTGATCTCCTTGCTCCTTGACAGCATCATTGCAACATTGCAAGCTCCGCTGTTGGACGGTCTTGCCGAGTCGATCTCAACTTGGAGGGATCTGACCGGCAACGTGAACAGTCAGCAGAGAGAGGAGACAGTGGGACCAGGTACGAAGATTGAAGGAGACAACGAAAGATGTCAGAAGGAGAGATTGGTAGAGCGAGAAGAAGAACATCTCGATGTCTCGTATGAAGTATTTCTTCAGGTAGAACAAACATGACACAATTTTGGACAGTCATCAACATCAGCAACAGCAGCAACAGCATCTTTACCTTGACAGTTGTGCATGGAAGAAAGAGAATCCGGTCTGCAGCAGCCTGTTCAAGTCGACAGTCTCGTCTTCCTCCTCGTTTGCCTCGTCGATATCTTTGAAGAAACTCATCATCTTCCTTTGCGCCACGTTGTTGGGAGTGAGCTCCTCCAGGCGATGAAACAACTTCCAGACAACCTGCAAGGTAGATTGATATGATGGATCGCTCTTCCTCATCGACGCTATAATCATCATCATCATCATCATCATCATCATCATCATCATCATCATCATCATCACCACCACCACCACCACCACCACCACCACCACCACCACCACCACCATCATCATCGTCATCGTCATCGTCGTCGTCGTCATCATCATCGTCATCATCATCATCATCATCATCATCATCATCATCATCATCATCATCATCATCATCATCATCATCATCATCATCATCCAACCTTCCCATCTTTCAGTCGCAGTCTCGACGTCTTCAGTATCCTATGAACATCCTCTGTGAGATGTTCAATCAAGTGCTTGTCCACCAGGTCTGCATGGTAGCTACTGCTGGAGAGCAGCATCTGAAGGAACACAAACACGTTGTCAACCATGTACTCTTTCAGCTCCCTGAACGTCTTCTTCCCTTCTAGCTCATGGTCCTGCCAGTATTTCTCAGCTCGTCACCTCCGTCGGTCAGCTGGACTTGTCCTCACCTCCCTGCTGTGCTCTAGCACAGTGCAGAACTCTGAGACGTCTCGAGCAAGCAGCCCGATCAGCCCAGCTGCCTCCTCCCCATCCCCGTCCTCTCCCTCCTCCTCCCTCCTCTCTAGCTGGGGGATCTGCCGGGTGCTGCGGGAGGGGACGAAGCTCCAGAGCTTGTGCTGCTGCTTCTCCAGCTCCGCCACCAGCTTCGCCTGCTGGGTTCGCAGGTGGAGGACGGTGAGCAGGCGGAGGAAGGCAGCTCGGAGCTTCCTGGATACTGTAAGGGGGACCCGCGGGTCGACCCTGCCATTTCTCCAGCTCCCCCTCAGCAGAGTGTCCATGATGTAGTCGCAGGGCACGAAGGAGGAGACGCGGAGCTGGTTGATCTGGTTGTCAAGCGCGCAGTCCGCCAGCAGCTGGACCAGGGAGATGTGCGCGGCAAGTTTACCGCCGCCCCCGTCGCCGCTTCCCAGCTCGCCCTCCTCCCTCGCCGCCACCATCAGGTCGATCCTCTCCTCCCACTCCACGTCGCTCGACCCCAGCAGAGGCGCCACGTGCTGCATCCTTAGCAGCGTGTCCAGTACCCGGTCCTGCATCCTCCTGACCGGCTCCCCAGCTACGACCAGCAGGTGCCGAGCTGCCTCCAACCAGGATGCCTTCCTGTACCCGAACCTCTGCAGCAGCCCCAGCACGGCCCCTAGCACACGCTCCCCCTCCCTCTCCACTACTTCCGCATGCTCCCCACAGATAGCAGCGAGCGAGGAAGGTGCGTCGATCCCAGCGAGGCCGATGTGGCTGAGGACGAGATGGAGGTGGTCAGCGAAGAACTCCTGGGCTAGAGGGAAACCCCAGCAGAGCCCCTGCAGGAAGAGATGCGAGCGCCGGAGGAGCTCTCGAAGGTCTGGGTCAGAGCAGGTGTCCAGCTCGAGCGGATCGTTGGAGCGGATGCGGCGGAAGGGGAGGGAGAGGAGGAGGAGGAGAAGCCGATGGGTGTCGGTCTTGAAGAAGAGGAGCTGGAGGAGGCGGACTTCCTCCTCCAGCTGGGGCCCACCATGACGATGGACAGAGAGCATGACGGTCCAGTCCTCGAGGATGCGCTTGCAGGTAGTGGTGGCGTCGAGGCGGAGGAGGGGAACGTCGGAGGAGAGGAAGGGAGCGGCTCTGCGGAAGTGAAAGATGCTGCTCCTGACGTCGAAGAACCTCCTGGCGAGCTTGAGGTCGACGATGAAGAAGGTGGAGGCAAGAGCTGTGGGGCAGTGAGAAGGGGAGGAAGTCAAGGAGGGAACAGAGCGAATGAGGAGGAGGAGGAGGAGGAGGAGGAGGAGGAGAGGCAAGGACACGGAGGGGGAGGGAGAAGAGGAGGGAGGGAGGGCGAGGACAGAGGAGGAGGAGAACGACTCACCCCGTGAGAAGCTCTCTCTCATGCTCTCAAACTTGAGGAGGAGGCGGAGCGAGCAGTCGACGAGGATGCCATCCTGATACCTGAGAAGGTCGAGGAGGATGCTCGTGTAGCGACCATGCAGGCTCGCTGAAACCTGAGGGACAAGTGAGGAGCAGGACGAGCTTGAGGAGAAGGAGGAGGAGGAGGAGGAGGAGAAGCAAGATGCAAATTAGTTCTCACCTGTTCCGCCACCTCCTCCACTTCACTAGCCCCCCACAGAGGACTCTCCTCCCACGCTCGCATGTCCCGCGCGTACCTCAGCTGCACATTCATTTCTTCCTTCCCCGACACGGCCTTCAACGCCTTGGAGGAGGGAGGAGGAGCGGGAGGAGCGCGCGGGACCACCGACTCGAAGTCTCCCTCCCCCAGCACAGGCGCGTCAGGCCCCAGCTGGAACAGAGCAGGAGCGATGCGAGCTTGAACGAGATCCTGAGTAGAGGTCAGTCGCCGCCTTCTGCTACTTGAAAGTCACCTCCCAGGTCCTGAAGGCCGAGCTGAGGAGCAGCTGGAGTCTGCAGTCGAGGAGGAAGGAGAGGATCTCGCAGCAGACGATCTTGAGGTCCCAGCAGGGGAAGTTGTTAGAGGAGGGGAACAGCCTCGCTGCCTCCAAGAGCTGCTGAGTGGCTTGCTCCTGCTGCTCTAGACCGTCAGCCCCCAGCCCAACTCACCTTCTCCCATTCCTGAGCCATCGACCCTGCTGCTCTGCCAATCCCTCCTGTTCTTCTCTTGCTCTTCCATCTTCTTTCTCTCTTGCTCGACTACCTCCTTCCTCATAACCTTCCTAATCCTCACAAGCACTTTCTCTTGACTCCAACTCCTTGTCTCCTCTGCGTCTCCGAACCGACTCCTTCCTCCTTCCTCCTCGCCATTTTCACCTCAGCTGGTAGCTCGAATGGCAGCTGGTCTGTCCTGCCGTCCAGAAGGTCAAGTGTGATGCTCTCGAGCTGCACGAGCTTCGCCTCCTCCATCTCCTCCCTCCTCCCCGACTCCTCGTATTTGTGAAAGCAGCCGACGGTGAGCATGCGCAGACAGAGGTCGGCCAATCTGATGAGGCATGTAAGAGAGGAAACGTGGAGGACGAGGACGAGGACGAGGACGAGGACGAGAAGACGAACAACGAAGAACGCAATGAAAAGGACTGAAAGGAGGAAAATGAGGAGCCAGAGATTGCTGGAGGCAACATGAGGAAAAGAGGGCTGGTAGACAGGAAACCATCGCAAGTACCTCCTCCCCCTCCCCCTTCACCTCCTCCCCCTCCCCCTCCCCTTCTCCCCCGCCCCCTCCTCCTCCTCCTCCTCTTTCACCTCTGGGTGTAGATAGTCTTCCCGCTCAGCTCTATCTGGACGTTGGAGCACTTCTTCATCGTTGTGACCACGTGCTCCCGCAGCTCCCGCAGGTTCGACGGGAGGTTGTGATCGATCTGGTTTGACACCCTCCAGTCAACGGCTGTCAAACTTTCCAACGCCTCTCACCGCGTCCTCCTTCCTCGCTCGGAACTTCTCCTCGTTGGCAAGAGTCTCGTGGAGCTGCAGGTGAAGGTCAGGCCCAGCTCGCTCCCAGCTCGCAGCTATCACCCTCGTCCAGGTCCGGACCAGCTGGACTGAGTCGACGGGGTGGTGAGGGTGCTTGTCTACGTAGAGGGAGCAGAGGAGGTTGGACGCGAGGGCACGGAGGATCCAGGGGAAGGCCTCATGCTTGACCACGAACAGCAGGTCGTTGTAGGAGCACGCGAAGTGCTCTTGCTCCTGCTCGAAAAAGTCTGCGGCGAGTTTGTGGCGGCCGTAGACGACAGCAGCCATGAGCTCAAGCATGCAGAGGTAGTACTGGAAGGACTTGACCTGCGCGGGGTGAGAGAGGTGGGAGAAGGGAAGAGGGGTTGACCTGTTCGTCCTGGGAAGCTTTGTAGTCCTGGAGTGAAGGTGAGCGGAAGAAAAGAAGGAATGTGGAGGAGAGGAAGAGGAAGAGGAAGACCAGGTGGGTAAGGGAGATGGACGTCGAAAGCGAAGAGTCCCAAAGTTAAGACTTGAGATGACAGCTGGTTGGGGCAGGGGAGAAGGGAAGAGAAGGAAGGAGAAGATGAGGTAGAACTCAAGGAGAGGAGCTGAGGAGGAAGGAGAAGTGTCTCACATGTAGGAGATCGTCGTGATGGGAGAACATGGACAGACAGGACACGCTCTGCCTTTCTCCTCCTCCTCCCTCCAGCTGGACTATCAGGTCGGCTGTGAACGGGTCGCTCTCTAGAGTCGGGAGGACGTGCCGCGAGCTACAGGTCAGCTCTCTCCCGGCCTGGAACACGAGCCGCAGCACCCGCTCCTGGTTCCTCCTGATAGGCTGCCCGCTGCCTGACAGGCAAGAGGCCGATAGAAGCATCAGGATCCCTGGGGACCTCTCCTGTTTCAACATTGAGACGCAGGAGGAGAAGAAATCGTCCCGCAGCTCGCCCACCACCTCCTCTCCCCCCCGGCAGAACTCCAGCAGGCACTCGAGCGCGAAGATGTCGTAGTTGCAGGTCATGAGGGCAGTATGGGCATGACGGATCATGGCCTTTCTAGTCCCATCGTTACCCCGCATTATCATCATCACAACCTCATAGCTTCTCCTCCCGTACTCCATCAGCGTCTTCCCTATGTGCGTGCTCTCCATCACCTCGACTGGGAACCTGAGCCGCGTGAAGATGGACTGTAGCATGCCGAAGCATACCTCCAGGAACCCCATCCTCCTCAGCACGTTCTGCAACCGTACAAACGCCACTGGAGGGACAGTGCGGACGACCCCAGCTCCGCTCGCTGCCCCCCTCCGAAGAGACCCCCGTCCTCCTCCTACTCCTCCACGAAACGCTGTTCCCCCCTCCACCTCGTTCCAGTACTCCTCCCTGTCGTGCATGCGCGCATAGTCAAACGAGCCCAGGGAGGCACGCAAGCGGTTCAGCAGCTCCTGCACCAGCAGCGAGTTCCAGGGGAGCAGGTCATACAATGCTTCCGTCACGGCATGGTGTTGAATCGAGCTCGCCGTTGACTGCCTGTCGCTCCCCCGCGTGCCGATCCTCCCGAAGTCGTACGGGCTGACCTGGAGGAGCTTCTTTGACGACTCTTCCACCGCAAGCACGATCCCCGCCATGTCCATCACGTCACGGCTGAATCGCTCGTCCACCACCCGCACCTTCAAGGCGTCTTGGAGCTGCGACGTGCCCACTGTTCCGGTAAGAAGGGACTTGCTCTGACTCTCCTCGGACCTCTCGCGGCTGCTGAGGAAGAGGAGAGGAGGAGGGTCTGTCGCCCCCCCGCCCGGCACGGGCCAGCTAGATAGGCAAAGGAGATCGCGCAGATCCAAGGGCTCACTGTTGTCGAACGCCTGCCCTGTGTATCGGCTCATTGTCCGCAGCAGGAACAGGCAGCTGGGATCCAGGTGGCCCTCCCTGACGACCTCGCGGGCCCCGGAGACGCAGGCACGGTCGAGGTCCCAGCGGAGGAAGAGGCCGTTGCAGGCGTCGCGAAGGAGGACGGGGCCGGAGTGATTGGTGAGGTGGAGCCGGCAGTCTAGCAAGTGCACAGGAAGGACCTGGAACATGCCCCGGCCTGCGGAAGGAAGTCAGGGGAGGCAAGGAAAGTCAGGGGAGGCAAGGAGAGACTTGGCAACACCCTCACCTGCATCGTTCATCTCCCCCCTGCCTGCTGCCCAGCTCGCTGTCCCTCCGGGAGACTTTTGAGGCTCATCTTGGGTGTGCTCGATCACAAGGGTCAAGTCGTCTTGGTTGCGAGCTAGCTCCACCACATCCCAGGCATACAGGAAGTTGGGCTGAAAGCTCTTGTCCTCCATGGATGCCCGAGACATCCGCTCCTTCCTCGTATGAGACAGCTGCAGTACTGTCACCCGCATCGCTTCCTGCGGCTCCGGCCCCAGGAACACATGCTCGATCTCGTCGAACAGCTCGGTCAGCTCGTACTCCTCCTCCCCATGCCTGAGGCTGTCGAGGATCTTGGAGTGAGGCTGTCCAGCATTGATGAAGTACTTGGGGATGGTAACACTCTGGAAGACGAGCACGCTATCGTGCACCAGGACGTCTCCTCGCCTCATGTTCTTGCCATGTGGGCACACCACAAAGCAGGACGCCGTGCTCGGGTCCTGCTGGAGCCGGATGCATATCCCCTTTCCATCCTTGGTCGGCTCCTTGGTTGCAGATAGAAAGCCCTGAGACCAGCTGTTGTACAACTGAACTTGGTCGCCATACCTCACTGCTGACCCGAACCATAACTCGTTCTTCACATCTGCCAGGCGCCTCCTCGTTTCAATCTGTGTGGGATCGAGCGCAGTTCTCTCCTCCTTTTCCTCCTCCTTCGTCCCGTGAGCGAGCTGCTTCGGGCAAACGAGAAACACACACTCGTGCACCCCGGGATAGCAAACAGGCCAATCCGCTGCCCTTCCTCCCTCAGCAAACACATCGTGCCCGATGGACATGGAGCATCGCAGCCGAGACGATGACGTAGCAAACTGTAGGAGGATCTCGTCCCCATAGTGCACAGACGTCGCTCCTTGCTCTCCTCCTCCTCCTCCCTCCCGAACGCCTTCAGCTGCCATACAAGCTTCCAACCGTCCAGTCAACAGGCTGAAAATCTACAAAGCTAATTCAATTTCAACTGCTGAGGCCCGCCCGCACCCGGCCCGGGCCGTCGTGACGCCCGGCCTCAGCGGCGGGCCAACCGTTGAACTTACTAAGTTAGTTGGGGGGGGGCGGGGCCGCGCAGCACGGGCCCGGGCCGGCGGGCCGGCGCCTGACCCGGCCGCGGGCGCCCGGTGGGCGGGCCGGGGAAGCCCGGGCTGACCGTACTCTCCGGGCCGAGGCTCGGATCGGCCGGGCCGTAACCGTGACCGACCGGCGGTGGCCGCAGCAGTCCGGGTCGTGGCGGCGGCCCGATACCGGGGGACCGGCGATCAGTGAGTCATGAGCCCGGCGTCGGATGGCGGCGGCACCGGGCGCGGCGCCGCCCGGGCCCGGCCGCAGTAATACGGTATGGCAGTGCGGCCCGCCGCCCGCATAGCCAGGCTGATCATGCGGCCGGCAGTGCCCGGCCCGGGGGGCGCCCGCGTGCCCGAGCGGCATCCGAGGAGCCCGTGCAACTGAACTTCGGAAAACTGTAGGCGGCCCTCCCCGCCCGGTCCGTCGCCGGAGTCGTCACTCAGGTGGGCCCGACCGTCCATGAGCGCGGCGGCTTCCGAAGTTTGGAATTACTAAGTTTAATTAAGGAATTAAGTTTTTGGCCAGTTGTGTTTACTCAAAGTTAAGTTAAAAATCAGTACGAGGACAATCAGGATCTTCACTTACTAATAATTTCGCGCAGGACCATCGGAGAGTCCCGGGGGGCCCCGGCGCCATGCCACCACAGCAAGCGCAACGGTGGTGACTAGTTACAGTGACCACCCCCCCGCACCCTCAAACTTCGCCTTCACGGGACCCCTCCGAGCGCCTTCTTGACTACCTGACAGTCAGCTAACCCCGCGAATTTCTTTTTACCGACTCGGTTGGGACGTAGCAGCAACAGTACCGGTACTACCACCAGATAGCCCCCTGCTAGTACCCCCACTACCCCCCGCCAAGACTTACGACCCTCCCCCTGATTTACTGCTGAGGACGGATGCGACCCTTCCATGCCAGAGGTGAACAATCGACATCCGGCGGCTGACCCCTGGGGGTCTTGAGAAGGAGGACAGGGGGGTGGGGTCGACCAGGGTCTGGGTCCGTATTGAAGTTACTCTTAAAAGGGGGGTAGGGGTAGGGGGTGTACATTGTACGGCAGCAAACGCGGTAAAAGTTTCTTCTCCCTTCCGCCTATGTCCGTCCCTACCCCCCATTCTTACCATGACCACCCACCCTTTGCAGTGCGTATGTACTTATTTGCATTCCCCCAACTGCGTTTCGCATCTGTAGTAGTACTTCACCCGTGCTGGCCCTGCTTCGCCCGTGCTTGCCGCTCCTGCCCTCCTCTTCCTCCCTCGAACATCTTGCAATCCTTCTCTCCCATAGACTCTCTCGCTCGCTCTCTCCGATTCTTCCCTTGCTCCTGACCCTGCCCTGCTCCCACGAAAAAAACAACATCTTGAACACTTTTCACTCCCACAAGGCACTCTGTAGACATGGAGAGTTTCAGCCGCCTTTCGAGCACTGAGAACCTTTCCTCATGGATGCTCCCGATAAATTGTCAAGAGTTTCAGGATTTGTCTGGTGCACTGAACAAGCCCGACGACGTTCCTGTCCCCGACAACGAACAAGAACAAGAACTAGATACGAACCTGCCAACCTGCCAGATGGACGGGGATAGCTCTTCTACGGAGGAACAAGAGGACACGTCTGAGAGGAAACAAACCTCCAAGCTCACCCTCGCTGAAAAATTGAGCATCATTCGCTCCCATGAGAGCCCCGACTGCCTTTACAAAACTCACGAAAGTCTCGCCCGCGCCTTCGGCAAGAGCCGCTCAGCCATCTCCAAACTTCTCCGACCCGAAAACGTGTACAAGCTGAAGCTGATGGAGGCGTCGGGCGTGAAGCTGACAGTGAAGCGAGCGGTGAGGCAGATTCCACAGTTCGAGGTGGCTGTCAGAACCTTCGTGCTGGGACTTGAAGGCAAGGCGCAGCGGCGACTGCGGGTGCAAGCGTTTGCGAAAGAGCTGGCGGGGAGGCTTGGGATTGACAACTTCAGCGGGGGGAGGGGGTGGTACAACGGGTTCATGAAGCGACATGGGCTTGGGGTCGGAAACCACGAGGGATGAGACAAGGTACAGAGTGCGTTCGACGGGAACGTAGGAACATGATATTGCTTGCGGCGCTGAATTTTCCCTCATGGGAAGGCTGACATGGCAGCGCATGGCTGCCTGCTGTTTGAGCCCGTTGAATGCGGAGTCAGGCCCGAAGGCTGACGAGACTCTGTCGGGACTTGAAGACTGTCAGGGGGTCTTCTGAAGTTTGCAAGGAGAGGCAAACCCCCGCTTGCTGTTGTCGGTCATGGCTGTGCTAGAGCTGCAGGCCTGAAGGTTTTAACGTACTTACATCTTGAGGTGAATCAACTTGAACTTACTAACACTATCATATGTGAGGCTTGAAGTGAATGAGAATCAATCAAATAGATCTTGCTTTTCAAACGCCTCCGGGTCATTCGCATTGCTGCACTAATAATGACACGTTGAAAGGGTCCTGGAACACCGTCACCCTCGTCAAAACAAACGGATCAACCGAGCTCGTCATCGTCCGGCTGTGAGACTCGGCGACGGCACTGAGCCAGTCAATCTCGGACAGCTGGCAGTAGTACAAAACGCGCCGTTGTCCTGCCTGAGTCTGCCGGCCCTAATTTTTAACTCTCCGAGGCTCGAATGCTCTCGAGGTAGCCTGCCCTTGCCACCGTGACTTGTCACGAGTCACCGCTCAGTGACGGTCACGGTGGCGACATCAGCCGCAGTGACGCGGCCGCGATCGCGGGCGGCACCAGAATTTGTCAGATAGGTCACGAATGGTCACGAAGACAGTTTACTAAGAGCTGACCGGACCGTCCGAGTCCGCGGGGCATGATGACCGTGAACATTGGCGACGGGCCGCCGCTGCCACGGTGCGTGCGATCCACTGCGGCCTAGCAGCCGGGACCACGACTCAGAGTCGCGCTGAGGACCGTCACAGAATCACGTACCTGGACTCAGGCTCACTGGCGGCCGCGGCGAAGACGAGCTGACAGTCACCGGACCGTACAGGCTATTCGATCACAGCCTGGCACGCATCATGCCAGGGCACGCCGTGATGGTACTAAGTACATATCCTGACACTGCCAGGCTGTCGCACAGGCCATCGTCACCCGACGGCGTCAAGAAGAGAAAAGACAGTGAGAGTTGAAATCTTATCCGACAGCGGCCGCCACTTCCTGAGGCTGTCCTCCCAACTTCTGAGGCTTCAACACTGAGGCTGATATCTTCACTTAAGTGCGCGCAGGCCCATCAAGTTCCCCCGCGGCGCCATAGATAGCGGCGAGAAGAATCGAGGGGGAGGATCACATCAGCGCTATCAGGGAGCACGAGACTTTCAAAAACTCCTTCAAGCACCTGTCTTACTTCCTCTTCGACAAGCTCGCCAGGGCCCGGCTGCACGCGACGCAGTCACGAGTGTCAAGATCAAGTCTACAACCATTCGCTGCCGCCGGCTGGCGGACTCTGTCGTTTTCCAAGGCTTGCTGGACGGAGCCTCCGCGGCAGAGAGTTCAAGGTTACCTGAAGGCGAGGCTGTCACGATGCTCCTCTTGCTTTCCGAGCGGCAGTGATCGGCCTCCAAGCCTGGACCGGATGCGTTTGCGAGTCGAATGCTACCGCAACCTTGTTCGCCGAGCGATCGTGCCCGGCGGCGGCGTTGCCGGCCGCGGGCCCACTCGTCGGACCGGCCCAGCGCTGGGCCGGTGACCATCGGACCCCGCGGCGGCGTCCGACGGTCACACTGTGACCCGGGCGGCCACTGAGGACACGCCGCGCGGCCCGGCCGGGGCGGCGTGACTGAGGACGCGGCCTGGGACCGCTCTGGGGACCGCTGCACTGCGGCAGGGACCGCCGCGCCGCGTGCAGGGACCGGGCAGTGGAGGACTGCCAGTCAGCGCGGGGAAGAGGGTGCCAAACCCGCGCCAGGACATCGCGGCCGTTCAGGGAAATGCAGCGATTGTACCAAACGACGAACAGCAGCAACGTAAGAGAAGCCAAGGATGAGATAACGAGGGATGAAGACGATGATAAAGAAGGAATGCGATGATAAATCATGAATGCGATGATGAGAGATGCACGTAACCAATGGTTGGATGGAAATGAAGATGACAACATGTGAAACTGAGGAAAGAACATTAGAAATGTGTGCCTTTTTTTCACGACGAAATTGCATCATACTTTTTATTTCAGTATTGTGAATGTGAGCTTTTAGAGATAGAATCTAGCAAATATTGTGTTGGTATCCATTGCGGGGGCATGCGTGTGTATTTGTGGCGGAAATGGTGGGGGCTTGATCTATCTGGCATTGTGTTTTGTATTCTGTTATTGTCTTCCTGTCGTGCCGAGTTTCGAGGAGGCAGAAACTCCTTGAACTCTGAAGAACATATCATAGAACATTGGAGACGGCTTGAAGCTTTGAGATGACTGCTGCTGACATTGGAACAGATTCAATTTGGAAATTATATTTGTACGATAGACAACCATACCTTCTCGCCGGTTTGTGCTTTCTTTAACCTCTTTGGATCCACTTTCTCATCTCTTCCCCTTCCTCACCCCTCGTCTCTGCCTTCCTCCCACCACACTCTCCTTTGTCCCCCCGTCCTGTCTCAACCCTTCGTTTCCCACTTCTTTCTCATACCCCCTCCCTACCCCTTTTCCCAACTGGCTGGTTCGCATGGGCTGAGAGAGATTGCTATCAGACGAGAGTCTGCACGAATGTCAAGACTGGCGTGTCGACGGTGAAGCAAACATCCCAAGGCGCGTTCCACGTCGAGTCACAAGAGTTGCCCTTGATCGATCATTGGCCGGGGATAGCGCAGTGTTTGGGTAAGGACCACGGGGACAAGTGCTGGGAGCGATGGGATGTATAATAAAGTCAGAAATCGTATGGTCGAAAGTCCGAGAACCTGCTGTCGCTGCAACAGCACTGTCGGTGATACCTTAAAAGGGCATGATTGCAGACGAGAAACGTGCATTCTGACCACTCTAGAACAGACCTCTTCAGGATGAGGGCAGCAGATCACAAAACTACTCATCGGCCAAGGATTGAATGCAAGTCGAGAAGTTGAAAAGGAACATGATATATTTTCGCTCAAACTCCCAAGTACCCATGGCAGTGTCTGCAACGGAAAATCGAACAATAAAAAAATCTACCGTTCAAACCAGCTCGCGCCTCCAATGATATTGCCACTCAGTATTGGCGCTCTCCAGCCTCTATCGGAGCCTCGGAGTTGAGGGTGCACAGTACATTCAGGCAGTAACTCAAGCATCGGCTGTCCGCACAACCCCAGGGGCACAAGAGTCCATTCCAACCGCTGAAGGGCAGGCAAGGTTCGGATCGAAATCTTGATCATGAAGAAGTGTTCCCACCAGGGCCAACCCGCCGCCTACTGCTACCACTCCACCCAAGATAGGCCCCCATACCCCCGCACCGCTTGTTACGGCGTCCCTAAAGCTCGTCGCAGGACCCTCGTCAATGTCATCTCCATCTCCGACTGAGCCGTCTTTGACCTTCTCTTCAAGAATGGACCTGATCACCCTTCGAACAAGTGCTTCAGTGACATGTAACAGTGTGACCGGTGGGCGAACAAGGGACACATTAGCGGTTGGGCCGAGCCCATTTCAGGACACGCTGCACCGATGAATTCATAACTACAACACATAGCATCATCAAGACGTGTCATTTGATCTCGTCAAAATAGATCGGGTAATTTCCACATAAACCCTTGGAACGATGTTGCATCGGAACCAAACTGAACGGGCAACACGAAAAGTTGAGTCGTGGAAAAGGAGAAGTAGCAAGGGCAAACAGAACAAAAAGACAACGGTATTCAGATACATATCAAAATTTAAACACCTCATCATAACCATACTACCATCAGGCTCACACAGTACAACCCAGGAGCACCAGCGACAGGCAGTGAAGATCAATGCGGTGCATCCGAGGGGGCGCTAGGGCAAGAGGTGGGGGTGGGGATCAGAGGACACAAGAGAGATGATAGAGAGATGAGAGCATTCAGGTCGGCATATCCTTACCTCGACTTCCTCCCTCCGCCTCCTCCGCTCTCCCTCAAGAGCAGTAGCTCCCGAAGGTCGCCGAACATGTCGGCTCCCACCCTAAATCGGGAAGTCGTTACTGAACCGTTACAACCAACCACCCAAAAAACTGTTTTTCGGAGCCCGGCGCCGTCCGATCGGGGCCCGACTCGGGCCGGACACGAGGAACTGAGATGGTCCGGGCCCCTAGCTAGGGCTCATGCACATCACCGAGCCTTCAGGTAGCAGGACCGTGACCTCTGACTTCGAAACCTGTCACATCTTAAAAGTGACCACCCAACCTCCATATCCATTATATATATTTTCAGTCATATTTTTAATTTTCATATAATTATTTACTTAACTTATTTAAGTCCCTAGGGCGCGCACCCTACCCCTGCATGCCTACCCCCATGAATCCTGTCTGCTCCTTCACCCCACTTTCCCATACCACATTCTACCCCTACAAATCCCTCAATTTTCACCGGTACTTACCCGGATAAATGCTTACCACCCCTTACATCACCCCCCCATGTGAGTACGACCGCTCCGAAGGTGATCGGAGTACCCCTCATATCACCTGGCCCCGAATTCAATCAAAGGGGTGGGGTGGGGTGAGGTAAACCTGCAACATTTCCTCCCTCTATAGCATCAGGAGCAGCAACTATCCATCGTTGACCATGGTGAGAGCACGCGTTGATGTGCTTGTGTGAAGGGCGATGAGATGATGGCTGCATGTTGAGATGAAGATGTTTCAACCCTTGCTCTGCACATCTGATTCTTCAGAGCTTCCAGCATACTTGCTACATTCCCTTCATGCATAATGAGGGCTGTTTTTTGTAGCCGACTGTTTCTGTTGAGTGTTTCGTCGATGTTTGAGCCTGCTCGCAACTTACTTGAGTTCTTGGCATGCTGACAATCCTGTTCATTGATGAATTTCCAATCTTGAGTTGAATATCATGTCGTGGTCCTCTAACAATCATGCACAGCAGAAGTAGCAGCATGCTGACTATCAGGCGCAGGTCTCTATGTCTCTCAAGGCTGCTATTGCCGCGTCCGCTATCGCCGCCGCGTCCGCTTTCTCCACTCCTGCTCTTAGTGTGAGTTTCTCCTCCTCTCCCTGTCTCCCTCCTCCTCACTGTCTACCTCCTCCTCACTGTATCTCTCCCCCCGTCATTCTTCCCCTTTCTTTCTCTCACCTGCTCCGCTCTAGGGTCTCCACATGAGCGTCGAGCGCCGTGACGTCGTCAAGACCATCGGAGCTGGAGTTGCTGCTGCTCCCTTCCTTGTGGGAGCTGCTGCCAACGCCGAGAGCACTGTCTTCCCCCGTGTCCAGACCCAGAGCAGCTTCGGAGTCATCAACGACAACATGGGCAAGGGAGCTATGCCAGTGATCACCGTCTTCGATCACCGCGGATGCAGCCGATCCCCCAAGGAGTACGTCGGAGATAAGAGCGGGGACCAGGATGACGAGATGTGCGTCAAGGTCCAGATGAAGACTCCTTACACGTACCCCCAGTACACTCGCCAGGCCACTGCCCTGCTGAACGAGATCATTGGAGTAACGTACACTAAGGGAAACCCCTCCGGCAGACACGGAACCCCCGACCTTGTAAACTAAATAAAGAAGATTCATTGGGTGAAATGAGCTGTTGTGTGGGTGAGAGGAGGGGGGAGGGGAGTAGAACAAGGGGACCTCCCGTGACAGAGTTGAGCGTACGATGGTTGACAACGAGATTGAAACACATCAGGGAGATTTACTGAATGCCTGCGACTTCTTCTTTCGAGGCTTCAGATCCTCCAGCGTGAAGGTCTTGACCCACAGCTCCTGATGGGTTCCAGTCAGTTCACTGCAGCATCCAAGTGCCAGTTGCGCCGCCTTTGTCTTCTCCTAAGTTTCCTGCTCTTCCAGCCCCTCTCTCTCCCTCCTGCCTCTGTTTACCCTGATCTCGCCTGACCACCAACTGGCCTGGCTGATTGAAATCTTCACTTCCCCCGCGCTTGTGTTGAAGTCCAACCTGCTGGGCGCGTTAGGGGCAGCACAGCCTGAGATGAAGAATCGATGGAGGAGGAAGGGCAGACCTAGCGTGAAAGAGGCCCATCGAGGCGTAGAAGATTGGTTCTTCATTCCATTGTACCGAACTCATCCGCGGATCCATTGGGAACTGATCACCTCCAATCATGACTACATCCCCTCTCCCTTCCTCACTCTCCACCTCACCCGACCTTTCTTCCTCCTCCCCCTCGTTCCCTTCCACGTTCCCTCATTCTCTCCTCCCATCCCATTCTCTCCTCCCCCCCCTTCTCCTCGCCCTGGTCCTCGTCACCACCATACATCACCTGAAATAGCGGAGAGGAGGAAACTTCTAGGATCCCACCGGACATGAAGATCGCCGACTGAGAGGCAAGTCAGCTGGAGCGAGCCCAGTCGTCAGGCCATCAGCAGCACCCAATGCATGTCGCCTGACAGGAACAGGACGGGCTCGTCCATCTCATGTATCCTACACCGCCGAAAGTCTCAGACAAGGATCAAAACACCGCCAGCCCCTACCATCCCAGCAGAGCCTCTCGCTCCTCCTGGAAACCCGCCCAGCCGTCCGATCGCACATATGACAACTTGACAAGCAATCAGCTCGCAGTCTCGGTAGCCTCCAGCCTCTTACATTGCCCGTGTTCAAGGTGAATGGGACGGAGCTCACGATGACCCTCAGCTTCACCCCGTCGCTCCCCCGGGAGCTCTCGAGCCACTCCCTAACGCAGCGCAGCTGCTCCTTTCCCAGCATAGTTCCAGCTGAGGTATTCCGATAGGCTCTCGTGTCCAGCACCATAAAACTCACGTCTCCTTGCATGAAAGAGAAGAACCTGGCCCGGGGAGGGGAGCCAGGAGGAGCATCCCTGTTCCTCCTCCCCAGGAACCAGGTCCAGTTCCCGATGGCGTCAGCAAAGAGCCCGGTCTCTCCTCCATCCCAGTTGTTGGAGATCTGCCGCATGCCATTTACAATCTCTCAACTTGTCTGCTCTGCTCTGCTCTGCTCTGCTCTGCTCTGCTCTGCTCTGCTCTGCTCTGCTCTGCTCTGCTCTGCTCTGCTCTGCTCTGCTCTGCTCTGCTCTGCTCTGCTCTGCTCGGCTCTGCTCTGCAGTCCCCTCCTCTCTTCTCCTCCAACGCTCATCACCTCATGATCGTCGTACATGAAGACCGATGGTGTCGTCGACGTCAGAGAGGAGAAGTATGGATCTCGGAGAAGGAGAGTGTAGAGATGCTCATAAGATGAGAAGAAGTTAAACGGAGCATCTGCATACACGGCATCCCCCAGAAACAAGAACATGTCCCCTGCTCCCCTCAGCCGCCCAAGGCTGAACATGGGCACTCCATAGATACTCTGCAAGCAGCTGCCCAACACCACACTGAAACTGCCAGACTCTCCAGGCTTCATGAAGGTGCGGAACGTCCCTCTCCTCACGTCTTGTCTCGATCGAGTGGGGACTGCAAACGTCACGCTGTACTCATATCGCGACCTTGACTGAAGCTGATCAAGTCGGACCGTAGCTACACAGGATCGCATGTACGGCGAGCTTTCCAGTGCCGCCTGCATGCTGTAAGGAGGTAGCAGAGCGCTGCCCTCCCTTCCGTCCACCTCCCACCAGGATACGTTGACCACAATCTCCCCGCACGTCACCGAACCACTCCCTCTTGCATCTAGCCGGACCCACAGCCAAAGGGCGGCGCTAGTGCCATCCACAAGCCCCAGGCCGACGGCAGGAGAGACGTCGGATAGGAGGAGAGAGTCGCTCAAGATCCATGCCATGAGAGGAACGAGGACGAGGCTGGTGGCCAGCAGCTGGACCCTGCAAGGCATCCTGAAGTAGTTGGAGATAACCACGGCTGTAAAGATTTAAAGATTTCAAGATTTCAAGATTTCAAGGAGGAGCCTGCATACGAGCTCAGGAGATCAGTTGTGCATATTCAATTGAGCTCTCAGAATCAGAATCTTCTCGTGCATGGAAGAGGACGAGATGAGATGAGCAGCTGCAAGCGGCGCCTCCGGCCCATGGCTGCGATGGGACACACTCGCACCAGACCTTGCTCGGGGATCCTCGGCTTCCGCAAGGAGGACAGCAAGTGGAAGAGAGCTTGCTACCGACAGAGTTCTTACTTGTCTTGTCCTCCCTTTCTCTCCTGAGCCTTCCATCTCCTCCCCTACCTGTACATGGCACGTGCCGCAAGCCCCGGCGACCCTTCTGCCTCCATGACCCCTGTACCCCCTGGGGATCCTTGGCTTAACACGTACTGATTTTATTTGTCCCTTTTTAAAATTAGTACCAGCCAGTACTACCGGATTACGTGACACGTTCCGACCCGGCGTGCGGTACTAATAAGTAGTTCTGACTCAGCCCGCCTCAGCGCCGGAGCCTCCGTCACTTTGCCAGTCACTGAGTCGGACCGTGAGGCCGCTCAACTTGCTGGAACTTGAACCAGCCCGGCCCAGTCCTCCAATGCGGGCCCCGGGCCGGCCGATCGGGCCGACGATCGGATCTTTGGACGGTTTTTGCAGGGCAGTGGAGTGAGTGAGAATCATTCTCAACACTGAGTGAGAATCACGGCCGAGCCGGCCGGGTGTCGGACGGTCGGAGGGCACGGCCCTCCGAGCTCAGTCAAATCTACTGCCCTCCTCACTGAGGAGGGCAGTCAGTCCCGGCCGGGCCGGCCGGGAGGGCAGTCAGTCAAATCTATGCACTGCAGGCTTTGAAACTTGCGTGACTCAGCAGTGTTCACTGACTCGGACCGGTACTACTAGTAACCTTGATGATACGCCCGGACGGCGCGGGCTTCAGTGGCTTCTCAGGATGATGTAAAGTTGAAGTCACAGGCCGCTGGGAGGGCTCAGGCTTGCACGCGGCCATGACTGGCGAGCGAACGGCGGGCCGTGCGCCTGACCGGGTCAAGATCTTATCGAAGTCGGAGGAGCAGCACAAGGCCCCGGGCTTCGCCTTCTTCTGCATCTCGAGTGCCTCGTTCATCGCCTCTCCCAGCGCATGGAACCTCGGCTGCAGCTTCCCCATCGTCCCCGCCACACAACTTCCTGCTGCGATCCCGATGCGACACGCGATCTGCTTCCCATCCTTGCACCTGAGCCCTTCGATGATCGCCAGCATCGACTCTGCTATGCCGAGCATCGTCGCACACAACTCTCCGTCCTCTCTGCCTTGCAGCCACCCCGCACAGATGTACTCGTCGCCGATGGTGTCTAGCTTGAAGATCCTGCTGTCAGCCAGGCACTGGTCGAACTTCCTGTACACCTCATGGATCAGCTTCGCCACCTCCATCGGCTGCAGCCTCCCCGTCAGCTCCGTGTAGTCGCACAGATCCAGTCGGAGGACGGCAGCCTTCCTGTAGGAGGAGGCGACTTGCCCTTGGCTCAGCGCCTCCTCCACCACATCCCGGGGGAACAGGTCGTTGAGTACGCGCACGATCGCTCTTCGCTCCGTCTTGTTCCTGTGTTGCGAGACCCACATGGAGCGCTCGGACTTGTGCTGGTGCTTGAGGATCAGGTAGCTACAGCGTCCACCGAAGACGAGGACGAAGACTTCACCGACGAAGACTCGGGGGAGGAGGAGGTACATGTTGAGGACGACTAGCGGCAGCATCGCCTTCACGACCCACGCGTGCCATCGCGCGGGGACGTTGGCCTGCTGCAGGTTGATCCAAGAGATAACGGGCCCGAAGAGCAGCAGCCAGCCCGTCGCCCGCGTCCACCACACGCTGTAAAACATGATGGCAAACTGGACGAGGTGGCCGCAGACATACAAGGCCTGCCATGTCCTGAAGCGCTCGACCGCGCAGACTCGTGCAGCACGGTCATTCTGTTGCATCCTCGTAGAGGTGAAGGAGATGTAGAGGAGAGAGGAGGCGAGGAGGAGGAAGAGGACGCAAGCAAGCGTTTGAGCGACGAGGACATGCCCTCGCATCCGGCTCGCCTCTTCCTCACGGAAGAAGCTGAGCCTAGTGATCCGGAGGAAGGAGACGAAGAGAGCGACGTTGTAAGAGATGCTTCCAACGAGGGCCTGTCGGAGGTGGTTCGGATAGTGCTTTCGCAAGAACTTCTCCTCCAGAGCCTCATCCGAGAACACGGCTCCAACCTCACAGATCGCGTGCTCCTGCCCTTCAGTCTCCTCGATCTCCAGCCATCTCGAGATGGGGTCGTCCATCATGATCATGCCCCCGGCCTTGGGTGAGTCCACCTGAACGCATTCCTGAGACGCTTTCCGCAACGCCATGGCAGAGGCCACCCACGAAGCTCGCCTGCCGCTGGTGGCGGTGCCGCTGCTGCCGCTGCTGCTAATGGTGGTGGTGGTGGTGGTGTTGCTGCAGCTGCTGCTTTCCCTGACCTCTATGAAGTAGGTCGCCATAAACCCCTTCCCCTTGATGTGCATCTCTGGTCTCCGTGTGAAACTCATTCCCGCGCTCTCCTCCTCCTCCTCCCCCAGCTGCTTCCGGAACTCCTCCGTGCACAGAATCTTGTCCTTCTCCGAGTAGTGGCACATGCGCGCGCTGGTGTTGATCGCATCCCCGAACAAGCAGTAGAACCTCCGATGCGCTCCCACGATCGCTCCTGCCAGCGACCCGCACGCGATCCCGACCTTGGCCCATAGCGGCTCCCCGCTGAGAGCACGAAAATCCTTCACCTCCCTCATGATCCTGGCAGCGAGGAGAACCATCTCCCTTGCTGCTGTGCGCCTGTACCTGGCGGGGCTGTCGGGAGCATGGAAAGGGCGCGAGGTCCTCTGACAGCAGATCACGTATGTATCCTGAACGTGGTGGTACTTGAAGCACCCGAACTCGTCCACGATCGAGTCAAGGCGGGTAAAGACGTCATCAAGGAGCTGGAAAGTTGCCAGGGTCATGGAGGAGGACAGCTCGGTCGCGCAGGGCGAGAGGCTGATGAACATGATGGTACAGTGCTCCATGTTGCCAGCGATCAGCCTGCTGCTCTGAGACCGGAGTCGGCAGTGCAGCGGCTTCGGGATCAGAGTCCCCAAGAAGTCGCTCAGCTTGTCTGCGTCAGCACGCAGCCTCCGCTCCCGCTTGAACTCAAGCTGAGCAGACGAATATCGTTCCCCGCATATGAAGACGCTTGCTAATGTGACTTGCAGGTGGAACAGCGCGGAGGGGATCCAGATCCTCGCGTCCAGCCCCGTCGCCCATCCCGTGGCGAGCATGACAGTCACTTGAGTGAGGGAGAGGGCGAGGGCCGTGCTGCCCTTGCTTCCCACGACAAAAGGAAACATGGAGCCGATGATGGCGTAGACAACCAACGTGCCGGGAGAGAAGACTCTATCTGTACACCCCGCATCCTCGCTGCCATACTCGGTGGAAAAGTTGAGCATGGTCGCTACGGGCTTCGCGTCGTGACAGGTCCAGGTCCACGGGAAGCCTTTGGACCTGTCAATGGTCAGGTTGACATAGGGCGACATGTAGCCAACGCTTGAAGCACGGCAGATGTCTGCTGTGACGCGCCTGAAGACTTCAAGTTGGAAGAGGAAAGAGATCAGCGTGAAGGTGACAATCTCTTTGTCAAGATGCCCTCGGATCCAAGGGACCCATGTGATGAGTTGGAACATTAGAGCGGTAAAGGAGCACATAGCTGCTGAGAGTGCAAACATGAGACACATGAATGTCTTGAGGTTCGAGTCCCAGCTGCACAAGTTGCTCCTATAGTGGCCAATCCCGTACAAAATGTACACCAACGAGCCAGCGAAGAAGACAAACCGGACTGACCTCGAGTAGAGTAGGAGATGATGATTGTTGAAGTCTTGATCGCTCCGTTTAGCCTCCTCCTGCTCCTCCTCATCCTCCTGCTCCTCCTCATCCTCCTGCTCCTCCTTCTCCTCCTCACGTGTGTGATCCTCTGCATTCTCCTCATCAGAATCCTCCTCCTCCTGGCCCTCATTCTCTCCCCTGTACTTCATGCACAGCCTCCGCAAGATATCTGTGGACGAGATACAACAGATATAAACTATCACAGACCCGGGTAGACCAATTTTTTCAATTTACTCAAAGTTAAGTTAAAATTAGTACCAATTTTTGAACTCAGTGTTCTGCACCCCCTTCGGAAGTTCCTCCGGAGTCCCGGGCCCGGCCGCTTTCAAGTTTGCCGGCCACTAGTACCCGGCGGGTGACCCTCTCCCCGTTCAACGGTTACTCCGAGGCAAAGTTACTGAGTTGAAAATCAGTACCCGGCGTACGAGGACTGAGTCAGGAGGCCCTTGACCCGCCCTGACCGTACGGTACTTTCAGCTGGACCCGGTGCGCCCCCCGGGCCCCGGGCCCGCCGAGAGTCCGAGGCTTCAACCGTCAGTACTGTGACACTGACCGTCCGACAGTGACTCGGATGCAGTTTACTAGTGACTAGGCCGCGGACCGTCATTGAAGCCGGGCTCCCGCGGCGGCCACTGACTCACTTCGATGGGCCGCAGTGCCACCGTGACCGTACCGGGCGGAGAGTCGGTCACTTACTGGTGAGTCGGGGATGCCTCGAGTCGCCGCACGGCCACTGAAGGCGCGGCCCGGGCGCCCGGCACGGCCAGCTTTGCCAAGGCCCGGCCGGGCGCCCGGGGCGACTCGTCCCGGAGTCCGACGCCGGTCACCCGGTCACGGCCGCACAGGCCCGGCCCGGGCGGCTCGACGGCCGCGCACTGCCCAGTGGCACCTTGGTCGCTGCCGGGCCCGCCCCACTGAGACGGCGGCGCCGAGGAAAGCCGTAAGGGAAAGATATATGGCGTTGATTTGCTAGTGCTACACCGTAAAATATACGCCAACGTTGTCTGGAACACACAGCAAAGTGGCCATGGGTAACTTTGGGTTCCTTGAGAGCAAGGGTTAGATCTGATGATTTCATAAGTGAAGCAATATGAAAAGAAAGGATAGTAGGGAGCCTAGCTGGTTTAGAGACCTTGTGAGGATCTCTACAAAGTTGGGTGCTGAATTCTAATAATTTGATATAATTTCTCTTCTAGATTTAAAATATACAGATGCCTGTCAAACTGCTTGTGGGACCAGAGTTCGGCGGCGCGAGAAATATCGTTTGGGGCTTCTCCGTTGAGTACCCACTACCCCTTCATATTAGCAAGATATGACTCAAATACCACGGGTGATTTACACACCCTACCCCTTGTTGAACCCTCGCTAGCAACCTCCAATTCCAACCCTTTGCTACCCGATTACATCACCCCACCCCCTTTTTCCTCTTATTGATGTAGTCAAAGTCACCCCTCTGTTAGTTCATCACCCCACCTTAGACCTACCCTATGAAATCAACTCTGAAGTACCGGTCAATCCTCCTCTTGCTGTCTTCCCCCACCCCTGCGGATCCTGGCTCTTCCGCGACTATCTTGCGTTAGCCCCGTCGGTCCTCAACTTGTGCCCTGCCTCCTCCGCATCCCTGCTTGAGCACCTCCTCTTGACGGGGGTTTCAAACCTCCTTCTCCCTCTTCGTCCAGGATCGGATCACAGGTAAGCTTGACCTCTGTTTGGCATCTGCAGTCCTATTTCTGCTGTTGTCATACTTGTATCCTTGCTTTAGCCGTTTCAATGCGATCTCGGCACAATCATGGCACTGATGTTTATTATCCTAGGCAGATTACCATCAATCTCTCGAGTTTTCCTCAAGTACAACATGGGTGTGAAATGGGTTGTCGCTATGTGCGCAGTCCTGGCATGGATCCCCGTGTCTCAGGGCTTCACAAACGGTGCTATCAGGTTCGGCACAAGTTTGGATACAGCAGGGAGACGTGGAAGCTGTGCCGTGCAGCGTTCTCCCATGCCGCTGAGAATGGCGGAGAATGATCCCCTCGTTGGCGATTTCAAGGTTGGAGACAAGGTCAAGCTCGTGAACGACCTCACGGTCTACCACGTCCTTGCACAGCAGTATCCGGACGGATACGTCGTTGCCAAGGGGACAGAGGGAGAGGTGAAGGCAATCGTGACGGAGAAGTACAAGCAGTCGACCGCAAACCGCCCGATCCAAGTTGCGTTCAAAGAACCCAAACCGTTTGTTATCCACTTTGAAGCGGATGAAATTACGAAAGCTTGAATGGCACGGGAAATTCAACTTTGTCCTGACGTCTTGTTATTGATTGCTGCTTCAAATACATCTCTCCTCCTCCTTCATGCCGTGATCCCTTGTTCCGGATAGAATCTGCTCGCTTGGGTGTTCCCATCCTTCCGTTCTCGCGTTGTTGTTTCATCGTGATCACAGTGCCGGCATGCTTATCTCTTCACAGCATCCTCTCAGCTACCAACAAGATGCTCTTGTGACCCCTGGCCGCCGTGGCCCTGGTCAGTGACGAAACTTGAAGTTCCTCTCAGTGATCGGCACCTCAGAGGAGTCCTGCGTGCCGCTGAGTGCAGTTTTAAGTGAAGACAACAGTCGGCAGCCGGGATGAGGGTTGGTTCTCACTGTCTTTTCTCTTCTCGCTGTTTGGCATGTGCGACAGTCACTGATGCCGGGCACAGCCCGAAGCCTGCCGCTCCGAACCTCAGGGGCCTGATTTTTTAACGGAAGTTAAGCATGGTAACAAGTTTGAGCGGTGTCCGTACCGTAGTACTACGGTGGGGGGGCCGAATGCCATCCCGGCCGGGCCCGCCTGTCCGGCGGCCCCACCGTGACTGCCACGGTGGCAGTGACTCCGGGCCGCCCGGCCCGGCCCCCGCCGCCGCCCGCCGCGCGAGACGCCGCCGTGACCGTATATGATTCCGGGGAAACTCATTTATAGCGTTTATTACTATGATTCATGGTTCTATGAGGGAGGAGAGGGGAAGGACGTGAGAAGATGGCGAGTGGGTGAGGAGGAAGGATTTGACTCGGGAAAGAGATCGAGAGATTGAGAGAAGGTGAAAGGGAAATCACGACCACGGCTCTGCTTGTAATGTACACCCAATATCACTGTCACCGACAGCAAAGAAGAGAAGGTTGAGGGAGCAGATCTGAGTTAACCTTCAGAGTCAGCAGCCAGCACTTTGACATTCCTTTGACATTCCTTCTTCCAGTTGATGGAAGACCATTCACGTCATGTCCCTGCTGGACAAATCGCGTCGGCTCCAGCATGCTGGCGACCATTCGAAGAAGCCAGGGCACATGTCCGCTCCTTCAAGATCCAAGACCAGAAGGCCTGGCGAGCATGGAGCAAGAGCGGCAGGTAGCATGCCTGCTGCCTCCTGCTCCTTCCCTCACTGCTGCTGCTCCAGAAGGCCTCACGACATCCCATCGCATCCTGATGATGCGTACGCGGACAGCGGGTGAGGCATGGAGGGACGAGAGAAGAGGAGGCGGAGGAAGGAGAGGGGAGGGGGCACAGGGAGGGGGCACAGGGAGGGGGTGAGGGAGGGAGAGGAGCAGAGAGGGGGGTAGCAGAGACACTGAGAGTGGAAGCAGGTGGATATCATGGCGAGATTGGTTGGGAACATCCGATGGGTTGAGACCTCCTCCCCCCTCCTCCCTCCTACTCTACTGTCTCTTCCTTCTTCACCCCCTCTCCCTCTCCATCCCCTCTCCCTTTGACCCTCTCGTCCTTCTCAGTCATCAGCACATCCTCTCCCCGTTCCATCGCTCCTGTATCCCTTCTCCTCCACCCCCTGACCTTTCACAGGAGACCTCCGAGGTCCACCAAGAGCAAGTGGAAGCGGTTTGAAGAAGGTAGCAAAGCGAAGACGAGGAGGAGGGAGGCTGACACAAGTAACAGCTCGTTCCTTCGTTCACTCGTTGGGTTTGGAAAACCAGAGGGAGTGGAGGAGGTGAGGAAAATTGATCCTCCCGCTTCCTCCTCCTCCTCCTCCTCCTCCTCCTCCTCCTCCTCCTCCTCCTCCTCCTCCTTTTCTTCCTCCTCCTTCTGCTTGTCCTCCTCCTCCTTCTTTTCTTCCTCCTCCTCCGCCTCCTCCACTTTCCTTCCCCTTCTTCCCTCCCAGCCGGATGAAGAGGTGGAGAGTCAAAGCAAGAACGGGAAGGGAGAGGGGAAAGTGCTGAGAGCTCTGTAGGATGAAGAGGAAGGGAGAGGGACAGAGGACAGGGAGAAGAGGAGAGAGACGGGAGACGGGAGGAGGCAACAGTCATTCTCACGCAGGTGGAGTTGTGCTGACAGACCGGAGGACATCCCGTCGCATCCTCACTTGGCGGTGAGAGCACGCGCATGTCCTGACCTCCTCTTACTCTGCAACGACAGTACAAGCATGCGGGATGGCTGTCATGGCGCGACTGGCTGGGGACAGCGGAGGGAATGGTGCGAAGAGGAGAAGGAGGAGGAGGAGGAGGAGGAGGAGGAGGAGGAAGAGGAGGAGTGACTCGAATGCAGCCACCGAAGAAGAGCAGGAGCGTGACAGGGAAGAGGCAGAGAGTTGCAGGAGGTCCAGCGGAAGAAGGAGGAGATAGAAAGCAGGAGGACGGGGAGGATGGGGAAGAGGAGGACTGTGATCTGCTGGGAGTGGTGGATCGCTACTTTGCTAAGTTCCTTCCTGGTGAGCATGTGGTGGAGGGGAGGAGGAACGTGCTGACGTACAAGGCAGAGGGAGAAAGCGAGCATGCGGGGCTGTGAGGAAGGGGATAGGAAGAGCGGGAAAGGACGACGATGGAGGAGGAGAAGGAGGAGGGGGAGGAAGGGGGAGGAGGAGGAGGAACAGGGGGATTTTTACTTCTTCACTTTGTAAGACTCCAGCTTCTTGTCCAGCTGCTTGAGCTTGATGATTCCTGACGCCCACTTTACCGACATGGCGACACCTGAAGACAAAAGCGTCACGACAATGTCCTGCCGTTCCTGCTCCTGCTCCTGCTGCTCCTGCTCCTGCTCCTGCTCCTGCTCCTGCTCCTGCTCCTGCTCCTGCTCCTGCTCCTGCTCCTGCTCCTGCTCCTGCTCCTGCTCCTGCTCCTGCTCCTGCTCCTGCTCCTGCTCTTGCTCCTACTCCTGCCCGGCCCTTACACTTTCTCTTACTTCTCCTCCCTCTCCCTCTCCTAGTTCATGCCTTCTTCGGTCTCCCCCCTCTTCGCTCCTCACCTGCCCACACGAGCCCACGGGAGAGGAGGGTTGGGTTGCCGCCGCTGATGGCTGAGAGGACGAGGCCTGTGTTGAGGAGGAGGCCGGCAAGGACAGCAGCGTTGCTGTTGGAGGACATGAGCTCCAGGCGCTGCAGCCGCTGCTCCGCCTCCAGCGCTCGCACGCGAACCTGAGGGAGAGTGAGGAAACGGAAGAAGAGAAGCAGACGAGGAGCGAGAGAGGGAGCGAGGGAGGGGGAGGAGGGGGAGGAAGCGATGGGAGGAGGGAGAAGGCGCGGAGAGGAGCAGGAAGAGTTTCACCTTGAGCTCTCCTCGCTCCATGCGCTCGAGAGTCTCAGTGACGTACTGCATGTTCTTGGGAGCCTGCGAGGACGCAAATGAGCAAGAGGAACTCAACGCGAGGAGGAGGAGGATGGACGACGAGCAGTAGGACGACGACGAGAAGGCTGAGGAGGAGTAGCAGCAGGACGGGGAGGAGGAGGATGGGGGAGGGGAGAGGAGGAGGAGATACCTTCACGACGCTGAAGATGTCCTTGTTGTTCAGCCCTGTCTTCTCTGCCCAGCCGACTGCCAGCGCCTACCCAGCAGGTGTGAGGGTGTCAAACCAATTTCTCAGCTGCTGCGTCACCTTCGTCTCGCTGCCGTACTTGAGCTCTGACAGCTTACGAAGGTAGGGAACCTGAACCCAAGCTCAACCCCAGCTCAACCCCAGCTCAACCCCAACGACTCTACGTGTGTAGCTTCTGTTGCTGCTGCTCCCTCCTCCCTCCTCCCTCTCTCCCTCCTCACCGTCAACTTGGTCAGGTCGTACTGGGAGTTCAGCCCCTTGCCTGCTTGCAAATGAGACGGAGGGAGTGGAGAAGTTGGAGAAGACGAAAAAAACCGAGAAGGGGGGGGGGGGGGGAGAAGGAGAAGGGGGAGAAGGGGAGGGTGGAAGAGAGAGGAGGCGAGGGAGGGGGAGGGGAGGAGGGGGGGAGGGAGGGAGGAGGTAAAGGAGTTCGTTG